GTGTGGAGTGAGGAGTGTACACAGTAAAGTGTAAAGTGTTGAGTGTAGATTGTAAAGTGTAGTGTAGAGTGTAAAGTGTGAAGTATGGAGTGTAGAGTGAAGAGTGTCGAGTGGAAAGTGTAAAGTGTAGAGTGTCGAGTGTGGAGTGTGGGAGCGTAAAGTGTAGAGTATGGAGTGTGGAGTGTAAAGTGTGGAGTATGGAGTGTAAAGTGTGGAGTGTAGAGTGTGGAGTGTAAAGCGTAAATTGTAAAGTGTAGAGTGTGGAGTGTAAAATGTGGAGTGTGGCGTGTAAAGTGTGTAGTGAGGAGTGAGGAGTATAAAGTGTAACGTGTAAAGTATGGAGTGTAGAGTGAAGAGTGTAGAGTGTAAAGTGAAGAGTGTGGAGCGTGGAGCGCAGTGTGAGGAATGAGGAATGTTCAGTGAAAATTGTAAAGTGTGGAGTGTAGATTGTAAAGTGTAGAGTGTTAAGTGTAGAGTGCGGAGTGTAAAGTTTGGAGTGTGGAGTGTAAAGTGTGCAGTGAGGCTTGTAAAGTGTAAAGTATGGAGTGAAGAGTGTCGAGTGTAAAGTGTAGTGCGTAAAGTTTAGAGTGTGGAGTGTGGATTGTAAAGTGTAGAGTGTAGAGTGAAAAATGTAGAGCGTAAAGTGTCGAGTGTGGCGTGTAAAGTGGGGAGTGTAAAGTGTAAAGTATGGAGTGTAGAATGTGAAATGTAGAGTGTGGAGTGTTGTGTTTGTGTTTGTTTGTAGTTATGTTTGTCTCGGTGTGGTAGGGAGGTTACAATTGGTTATGCGAGGTTGCGGGAAGGCATGGGAGCAATTTTTTATTATTTACTACATTATAATTATAACTATACTACCTTACATTACACTAGGCTACACTACACTATATCAAACTACAATTTACAATACTACAATATACTACAATATACTACAATACACTACAATACACTACAATACACTACAATACACTACAATACACTACAATACACTACAATACACTACAATACACTACACTAATTACACTACACTAATTACACCACAACTACAACTGCAACTACAACTGCAACTACAACTGCAACTACACTATACTAATTGCACAATATTGACAACTACAATTCCACTATAGTGCGCTCAATTACGACTATAACTATAACTGCACTACACCACGCTACATCTAATAACTGTGATGAGGTAACTACTACAACTATTACAAGCATTCTAAAAATCACAGCTCCAACTACCTTTCGGTCCATCAGTGGATTCACTCTGCTATCTGTAATTCACAACAAGCACCCTCTCCTATAGATTTCTTATTTTTGAAATTTCCGCCACCGCCTTGTACGGTACTATTGGTAATAAAAATATCTGCATTCAATTAAATAATTAATCAGGATAAGAATATGATAGATTATTTATTTCGAATATTAATCGAATATATTTCTTCAAATCAAATTAATTAAAATATCAAATTTAAGAGAATATATGATTATTATTTTAACAATAAATAATTCGAAAATTATAAATTATCGAATAAATAAATATATGTTTTTTCGAATATAATTTATGTTCTATTTATTTCAAAAAACAAATATTATATCTAAATAATTCGAATAATAATATGTTTTAAATTGATATTATTTAATTTAAATTTAATAATTAATTTTTTTAATATATATATATATATTAATT